CATGCATCTTCCTGGTATTGGGGACAACCTTGCTAATCTAAAGAATTGCGTTGCTGCAAAGAAACTTAATAAAGTTGTCATTATGAAAAATGGTTGGTTTACTGTATACGTAACAGGTATTTAAATCACTGTTGCAGTATAGAGCGCATGCGAGTAATGCTTCTTGTTTCTGAGGTTATAGTCTCCGATACCGAGTAAGGTTGTGTCCTCCCCAAGGTTGTACACGGTATTTTTTGTGAATACCGTAACCTCACTTGGTCCAGCCACCAAGAAACTTTAAGCCTTAAAACTTATGCTTAAGTATTGCAGTGCACTGGTTTCCCTTTTCTTGTCCCCACCCTACTAGACATTATTTTCCAGCAGTTCTCAAACGCTACGTGGTGCCTTTTATGGCTTAGGGGGACACACCAAACCCCTAAACCTTAAACTGCGTACTGTGAAAAAAAAGGGCAGGTTTGCAGCTTCGGTCCCCCGATTCTAGCCGGGGTTTAGGGTTTAGGGTTGGGATATTAATATGGGGCTTAGGGTTTAAGGTATAGCCCTTAATATGACCCCTAATATAGACTGTTGCAGGGTGGGGGCAGTACCCAACCTATAGGCATGGCATCTAGGATATTCTTGTTAAGGCGTGAAGGTTCAGGGTGATAAGAGTGTCAGGAGAGCAAGTAAGCATAGCACGCAGAGGTCGCGTGGCATTAATTTCAAGGGCTGCCCGCGATGGGTAACGGGAACCATCCCGCATCCCTGAATTCTGAGGCCTAAGACGCATGTGAGGTATGGGTTATATCACGCGTTTTTAGTGGCTCTACATTGGCTTCCTGAGGGTCATTGGTGCGGGCACATATCTGGTGTCCAATTCGAATCATACGCTATGTGAACCTTGTCAGGACCTAGCGCACTTATCGTTTGGACATTACACGAGCCAACCAATCCTCAAGAGCGATCAACAATCTTTCCTGATGATCCTTCTGTGGTTCTGCAAATTGCGGGTCCCCTTCTCAGAGGTTTTTCTATTGCCAAAACACAGCCTAAACCCTAAACCCTATAAATTCTAAGCCCTCAACCCGAAATTCCTTCATTCACTGCTAGTAAGAGGCAGGAATACCCGGGCCCTAAACTAGGTTGGTATCAAGGTTCACACCTGAAGTTTCCCAAATATGAGCGATAGTCTACACTCTTTAAAGGGGGGTTATTATAGAGGGGATTATATAGGGGAGTATTATAGGGGTTATTAAGGGGGATACTAATACTAGGACTTTGGACAATAGCTCATATGGATTCAGGGTTTCGGGTTTAGGGTTGGCTCCAGGAACCCAACTGAAGTTTGCCTAATATGGTTATATGGCACGTTAAAACTGCTCTCCCCATGGTGGTAGCTTAAAATCAAGCTCCCTGGAACAGACCAGGAAACTCGCATTTTTACATTCCGATTATATTCCCTTTGAACTGAAGCTCCTAACCTCCCCAGGCCCTGAACCCAGGTCACAAACCATAAACTTGTGTCATTCCCCCGTACAGTCACTGTCCTTAAAGGGGTCTCATTAAGGGGCTATAATAAGCCCTGTCACCCATTGTGGTGACTGCTAGTGTAAGGGGGGGGTGATCCAACCCTTTAAGCCCATAAACTCCTGCACCATAAGCAGTAGCAGTGTTGAGCTAGACTCGCTCTCACGTGCTTCACGCCCGTGGCCCCGTACACTGTGTAATCTTAGGATTACAAGTGCCATCTCATTGGCAAAATTGAGCTTTTTGGGGCACAGTTTGACACGGCGTTGTTGGTTGCGAAGAGCAGGCGCTCCTGCCCCTTGTGCTTTGATATTCAGGTGTAGGGCAGCGAAACTATCACTACTTCTTCGGCTTCATCACCTGCGCAGCTAGGCTGCAACAAGCTGCCTTGGCGGATTTCTATGGAATTTTGGCCGAGGGTCCTACTTGACAGCATAGGCTCCTATGGTCAGCGTATTATAGTGCATTTATGGCTCTTGAGACGTTGCTTGCCAGGATGTCAAACACGGTAGCTATGGCTGAAGACTGAAACGCCAGGGCCATTCCTCCAGAAAATCCGCATGCACCCACCTTATATGGTAGTTTCCCAAAATAAGGGACCCCAATGTAGACCCCCAAAATACTATACTCCTTATTATAGGGACCCCCAAAAAGGGTACCCCTAATTTCAGGAAACCCCCATATCCACCACAACTGGTTCGCAGAGACAGCTTGCGCTTCAGACAGTGGAGTAGCGATTTAGGGTTTAGGATGTAGGGTTTAGGGTTTAAGGTTTCCTTGAAGCACCTTTGACGCAAGATGACAGAAGTGTTCGTGAGGCCTCCCTGGACACCAAAAGTATGTAAAAGAATGACCTTTATGGCTATTCTTAGGGGTTTAGGGCTACTATTGTACATACTTTTGGTGTTTAGGTAGACGGGCCTGAAAAAGGAACCCTCTTCCTGACTTGGAGCATGCCTGTTCATCTACTTGGTCCTAAGCAGGGACTCAGGGATTTGATATCCTTTGTAATATAAACCCTAAACCCTTGGAGAGCGGTTTCTTCACTCCCGACTAAGCACCAGGGAGTGAGGGTTTACCGAAAGCCTTATAGGAGCAAATTCGGAACTCTATGGGTGGGTTCCTAAAATTAGGGGTACCTTTTTGGGGGTCCCTATAATAGGGAGTATAGTATTTTGGGGTCTACATTGAGATCCCCAATATTCTGGGAAACTACCATATTGATTCAGGCAAAAGGTGTAGCGTGTAGCGGTCAAGAATATCTTGTCTTGAGCCAGTCGTTCGATGCGCTTGGTTTCTATTGCTGATGTGTGTGTATCTCGTTTAGGGTTTAGGGTTAGCCTGTTGCAAAGGGTTCAGGGCCCACCATTTCTCCACCTGCAGCAAAATCTTGCACGGAGCTCTCAGAGTGAGCTTAGTGTCTAGCCGCGAGAAATACCCTTGAAGGAACACCCTCTGAGCGCCAAACCTTCTGGACTTGGAAAGGGCTTGGATTGCTTCTGCAAAGCTGCCTTTTCCTCAGTGTTAACTTGCTGTCAAAAGTGGAGGATTAAAGTAGCAGTTGCCACTTTCCGCTCTTTCAATCCCTACAGAGAAGCAGCAAGAGGATCTTCGCACTACTGAATTATAAAAGCCACCCCACAGGTTCCATATCGCTTTCACTTTTCCACTGGACTCTCCATGTCCTCCTAACCACCCTAAACTCTAAATAGTAGCTTCCAGCTTCTTTTGTATTCCTTCATTCCCTACCCTAACCGCTAAACAATTCGAATGCTAAACCAGAAAACAGTGGATTCCACTGTCTGTGAATTTCCATTCCGGCATTCCTTACGAACAGTCCTCAACCGTAAGCCCTAAACTCTAAACCCTAAATTCTAAACCCTAAGTCCTTAGCCCTGAACCCTCAACCCTGAATCCTAAACCCTATGTAAGTTTCAGGTAATGGTCCTGGCCATGATGGTGATGCCCGCATCACGGTTAAGGATAATGGCGTTTGGGTTTCGCACTGCAAGGAGGGACCGCCTAAGTTCTATCTCGGGTTATAGGTAGTTTGTAATGGTGGTGCAGTAGGTATGGTTATAAGTCCCATGAGCTACTTACAAGATAGTTACAGTATGTAACTAGGCAACACCACCCTGTGATTTTTCGGGTTCAGGGCTGTTTCAAACAAAGGCGTTTTACATTTTTTTTTTGGGGGGGGTGATCGCGATTTGGTAGTTTCCCTAATTATGGCGACCCCAATATAGACCCCAAAATATTATAATCCTTATTACTGGGACCCCCAAAATGGTACCCCTAATTTTGCGAAACCCCCATTTGTGGCTTGGAAGAGGCCATGCAGAATTCAGATGAAGTGAGCACCTTTACACAAGGAACCTCGTGGAAACTGAAGGTGTTCAGTTGCCAGCTGGTAGCACTTCAACTGGGTTGCTGTTCTGGACTTTAAGCTATTGCATTAAGGAGGTCTCGTTATTTACTATATACCCATAATCTGGTAACTTACATTAAGTTCGTTAACAGCAACTTAGTCAAGTGTTACTGACTGCTTCACATCACAGGTCTTTTCTTGATTGAACGGGGAAGGTACGACTTCAGGGCTTGATGCAGGCTGTCAAAAAGCAGCAGTCTAGCAGGCAATCATGAAGCACCGTAAAACTCTGGCAGCACTTGCAGCTGGAGTGGTGACCCTTCTGTAGATTTTCCGTTAACCCTCAACCCTGAGCCCCTAAACCCCGTTTTACCAGCATTGTCATTACCACAGCCAACCCCAACCCTAAACCTCACACGGTACCAAACTACTATACTACAATGGTGTATATTTTGGGGTTATATTGGGAAAACGGAAAATTAGATGGAATCTACTATATTATAATAGGGTATATATTGGGGTTATAGTCCCCCTGAAATAGATAGAATATGGGGTATATGGGGATCTTATTATGATATACTCCATGGTTTAGGGGTTTAGAGTTTAGGGTTGCTGGAGTGGCTGAGGCCTTGGCGCTTCATCTGATGAACCCAGACCAGGACAAGGCAATGAAGAATGCCGCAAAGACACCTGTCTCGGCTCTAAGCTAAGGTCTACCGTGTCTAGGGTGTCAGGGGTTTTGGATTGTGGGGCTCCAGCTCTAGCATTTAATAGTTTGCAATGGTTTCAGCCTTTCACAGTTTATTTGTGGATGTGAGGGTTCAGGATGTCAGGGCTCAGAGCATCTTTCACAACTTTGTGGTTGCCAGGTGGGCTGTTCAGACTTGTGCTCGTGGCTTCCTTATCGGCTGATCGCTGACATGTCATGCAATTACTCATGTGCTCCCGGAGGGTCTCCATGGCCAACCCAAGTTGTGAGGATGGATATCCAGATGCGTCGCAGACCTGCGATCAAAAAGCGTGTCCTCTCTCTCTCTTTGTTCCTCTCTCCCTCCCAAAGACCTCAAACCCTGGATCCCCCTCCAACTTGTATCCGTCCATGGAAGATTCAGAGTCCCAATCCGAGGCTTGATAAGTCGATGTCGATGTTGTTCTATGTCATGTGTGCTGTCGGCGTGTCTTGGCGAGCTTAGTTTAACCAATGCTAGGGGGGGTCTAGGCTTGAGGGTTTCTTGGGCAATCATATTATGCCCTCGTGCCCCGGTAACGTGCAGGGATGCTTGCGGTTCAACTTGGCAACCCTGTTAGCTGCGTCACTGCACCAAATAGGTTTGGACTTGGGAAAGCAGGAAGCTAGGCTGGAACAGGGTCTCAGTCATAATTGGTTTGGGATTAGGGGCCTGAACCTGAATTCCCACCCATACTCGTCCTCCCTCATCCTTAATTATAGAGCTATGGTATTCTATACCCCACCCTACTCTAATTAACTGGGCTACATTATCCAAGGGGGCCTGCGACCCCAAAGCCTGGAGCTCTGCACGAAGGTCCTGGTATCGCTTGCGGCATTCCTTTCCCTGGTGCTGTGGCTCTACCATCTCTACCTCATCGCGCGAACCTCGGGAGTTTCTGGGTTTAGGGTTTTAGGGTTTAGGGTTTAGGGCTTAGGGTTTAGGTACCCCAGTAGTACCCTTTTCCCTTTTTATTGGGGGTCTCCTTATTCAAGGTGAATAATAGGAAAAAGGGGTATCCTTATCATTAATGGGCTACTGCGGGACCTAGCTGCCATTCAAGTCGGAAATGATGTTGTGGGGCGGGGGGGTTGCAGGTCAGAATCTGCCTGCTCCAATACAAGCAGCCAAGAGGGATGTATTTTGAATGTGGAGGCTGAAGTCCCCAACGGAAAGTAAGACGACATCCTCTTTGGGAGTACGATACTTCCCAAGAAGAATACTTTTCCCTTGGCAATACTTTCCAGTTTTCCTATACATCTTTATCCAGATTTACCGTATATAAACTAATCTCAAGCAGTAGCCCCCGCACTATACGTATATATATATATATGTATATGTATAGACACACACACACATATATATATATATGTATGCATATGTATATACAGATACATGTATATGTACATATACGTATGCATACACGTCACCTATATATCTTATATAAACACTAGAACCCACAACTATATGTCTTCATATATATATATATATATCTGTGTGTGTGTGTGTTT